TTCAGCCATTTAAAACATTAACTAATTAATTTACAAAATTCTGTCCATACACATTCATAGCAGCATTATTCACAGTAGCCACAAGATGGAAGCAACCCGCGTCCATCAACTGATGAAGGATAAACAGAATGTGGTCCGTCCATATGACAGAATATTATTCAGCCTCAAAAAGGAAGGAAATTCTGAGTCATGCTACACTGCGAATGAACCTTAAGGACATGATGGTCAATGAAATAAGCCAGACACAAGGGGATGGACACCTATGATTCCCTTATATGAGGTACTTAGGTAGTCAAATCATACAGAAAGTAGAATGGAGGGTGCCAACAGCTGGGGACGAGGGGTTGGGAAGTTAGTGTTCAGTGGGGACAGTGTCAGTTTAGGAAGATGAAAATGGGGCTGGGGTAGAGAATGGTCATTGCCACAGCTGTGGCAAGTCAGAGAGGCTGGAGAGCCGGGCGAGCTGATGCTGCGGCTGGAATCTGAGCTGTCAAGGGCAGAATCCCCTCTTCCTCAGGGAAGCTCAGCCTTTTCTCATAAGGCCTTCAACTGGTTGGGGGAGGCCCCCACGTTATAAAGGATAACGTGCTTTACTCAAAGTCTGCAGATTTAAATGTTAATCTCATCTAAAAATAGCTCTGTGGGCAGCTTCCCTCCTTCCCACCTTCCAAACACTCTTGAGAGACGGCACAGGGTTTGCAGACTAAAGAAGACCACGGCCCCGCCCCACCCCACGTTCATCACGGTTTTATTCTCGGTGCCGCTCTGAGCGCACAGAACCTCTCCCTTCTTCCCTGTTACAGACACTGCCCGGGAAGGACCCCGGCCACCAGCCCCCCCACGCCCCTCCCCTGTGGGTCCACACCAGGACAGATGCAAGCAAAAGCTCACGGTCAACTGGGGAGGGCAGGAAGGGCCGCCGTGCACCCATCAAACTGGAAAAACGAAAAAGGCAAACAGCGTGCAAGAAAACAGCCTTCTCACTTGTATGGATAGCTTGTGAATTACTACTCCTTTTAAGAAAATAGTCTGCTGTTATCGACTAGAATAAAACACTGCAGAGAGTCTTGCTCAGTCACCCCACAGTTGAGAATCCATCCCGCAGAAATCGGTCTTGGTTTGTAAAGACAGATGTTAAAAGATGTGCACTGCAGCTTTGGTTGCAGTGCAATAATAATAATAATAATAGAAGCCATCTGAATGTCCCCAGCAAGGAAATGTTGGCTGGCCCATGTACACCGATGCTCTAGAACACATCATGCCGTTACTAAGAAAGCATGAGCTAGGATGTGAGTCTTGAAAGACATCTGTGTTGCTGTCTGGACTCCGCAGGAAATGGACCCCAGGATGGAGGTTTGCAGCTGGGGGCATTGGGGTGAGGGAAGTGGCCGTAAGCCACACCAGACCACAGCCACGAGCCTCGCCCGCAGGGCACGCAGCCCGGCCAAGCACTGCTGCACTCGGGCGGTCAGGGGCAGGACCACAGTCATGCGACTATTTCACCCTGGTGCAAAGGGAAACACGTCCATGTATGTTCCCATTTATTTCCTCTTGTATGAACCGTGGGAGGGGAGCAGGCTGCTGTCACCTTTAGGGGCAGAATGGGGTGGGCCGAGACTCTGGGTTGACTAATTAAAACAAGCACTTGTGGCCACTGAAATTGTTTTAATGACACACAGCGGAAAACATTCAAAAGACTCAATGTGGGAGCCACCAAATGGACTGCAAGTTGGTCTCTACCCCGAACTGTGGGATCAGCACAGGCCGCTGAGCCTCAACTTCCACATCTGGGAAATGGACATAATACCTGCTTCACAGGGGCTTTGACTTATTAAAGGGAATGGAGTGCACAAAGCATGTGACACACAGGAGACCTTCTGTTAAGTATTTTGTCCTTTCCCCTCTGCGCACACACAGAAACGGAGCACAGTACTGAAGCAGAGAGAGGGACGGAGGAGAGAGACAGCGCGGAGGAGGGAGGGAGGGAGACCCAGAGAGACAGAGACAGAGAGAGATGGGGGAGGGAGGGAGGGAGGAAAAGCCAGATAGACAGACAGAAAAACAAAGACAGAGACAGAGAGACATGGGGGGAGGGAGGGAGGGAGGGAAAGCTAGACAGACAGAGAGAGACAGACAGAGAGACATAAAGACAGACAGAGACAGACAGAGACAGAGGAGGGAGGCGATGACTGCAGCCAATCAGTCACAGCAAAGACAGAATTAGTGAGCTGGAAGAAAAGTCTAAGAGTGAAGCACAGAGACAGAAAATGATGGAAAACACACGGAAGAGAGTAAGAAGCATCCAGTGAGAACGGTAGCGTTCAGGAACGCGGGTCCCAGAAACCCTGGAACAGGATTAGGCAGCCAGTGTCGCCTGTTGGCGTCTCCCGTGGCCACTGGAACTAACTTGCTGACAGCAGCACAAACTCATCCCCCTTCAGCTCTGAAACGGGTCTCACTGTGCTAAAGTCACGGTGTCCACGGGGCCGGTTCCTTTTGGAGGCCCCGGGGGAGAATCCGCTCGCTGCCTTTTCCAGATTCCAGGGGTCACTGCATCCCTTGGTTCCAGGCCCCTCACCCATCCTCAAGCCCAGCATCGTAACACCGGCTCTCCCCTCTGACCCTCTGTCCCCCTTCTAAGTGCCAGCCCACCCAGATAACCCAGGACGATCCACCATCACGAGAGCCTTAACTTAATCACGGCTGCGAGGTCCCTTTCTCACGAAGATCACACACTCACAGGTTCCGGGGGTTAGGACGCCGACACCTTCGGGAGCCTGTATTCTGTTTACCAGACATCACGTCTGTTTCACATTTCCTTGGAGGTCCTGCCAGTCCAGTAAAACAAGGAAAGGAAACAAAAGGAACAGCATTGGAGAGGATACAACGCAACGGGCAGTCTGCACTAGACTGTTTGCAGTGCAATAATAGTAATAATTATTATTGTTAGAACCCCCAGCAAGGCCCGACCCGGCCTGGGGAAAGCACCACAGGCGCACGGCAGAGCCTGGGGAAATGCCCAGGGGCTGGTCCATCACGTTGGACCCGAGGAAGGAAGGAGGAGGCTGGGAGAGCCCAGGGCCATCCCAGAGGGCCTGGGGGGTCAGATCAGCCTGTGGGGCAGTGGGAGGAGGGGGCAGAGGAGCGGCTCCTGTGGGTCAGGCTGGGCCGCACCTGAGGACCAGTGGCTCCGGAGGCTGGACAGTGGGGCACTGCTCGAGGTACAGTCACCCAGGACCAGGGAAGCCAGGGCTACAGGCCCCAGCAAGGTTGACCCCTGCAGGCCAGCAGCTGGTTCCAGGCCCGGAGAGCGGGGAGGGCCTTCCCTAGCTCAGCTGCCCCCACAGCAGCAAGCACCAGGTGCCCTGAGCCCTCGGGGACCAGCCAGAGCAGGTGCAGGTGGCGACAGGCCTCGGGGTGGGTAAGGACGGTTTTAGGAGGGGGCCTGAGCTGCCCTGAGCCCAGGGACTCTCCCCACAGCCTCCCTCCCTGCCTGGGGAAGCCCTAACCCAGAGCCCTCAGCCGCGGCCTAGACCATGAGGAACCAGCATGGGGCCCCGAGGAAGCCACAGCTCTGGGAGGGACCCAGGCACCGAAGGCCGGCTCTGATCGCTTCAGAGACGTCACTCCACGGCCGGCCTGCGTGGGGCGCTCGATGCAGGGGACTCGCCCCGGCCCGCTGGGAGCCCCGTGGTGGGAGGAGCCTGCCCAGGATGCAGGTGCAGGAGTGAGAGGCTGGCGTCTGCCTGCCGTGCCCGCCAGGACTCCAGCCGGTGTCACAGTCCCCACACACGGACAGCCGGACCTGCCCTGGCTGGCGCTGGCCCTCCCCCAGGTGGGCCAGCAGCGCTTTCCCGAAGTTCCACAAACAGGGCAGCCTGAGTAACAGGTGTCTGTCCCCTCCCAGTTCTGGAGCCAGAAGCCCCACGTCAAGGAGTCCCAGGGCCGTGCTTCCTCCCCAGGATCCAGGGAGGGTCCTCCTGCCTCTTCCCTTCTGGGGGCTCCAGGTGTCCGTGGGCCTGTGGGCACGTCCCTCCAGTCCCGGGTTCCATCTTCACATGACTTCTCCCTGACGGCCCTTTTCTCTTATAAGGACACTCACTCCTGCCTGACTTAGAACCCAGCCTAACCCAGGATGGTCTCCTCTCAATCCTAACCTTAATTACATCTGCAAAGACCCTACTTCCAAACAGGTCACAATCTGAGGTTCCAGGTGGAATTCAGGGCACAATAATCACCCAGTCTGGAAGTGAGCACAGGACACTGCCGTACACACCTGTGACCTCTGGGCCTCTGGAAAGCCCCACCTGCCCGTCTTTGCTGGTTTCTGTGGCTCAAACCTGAAAACAGAAGAGCGGACTCAAGCCACTGCCCAAAAGCCCCAGGTAGAAGGGCTGTCCTTACGGGGGACTGAGGCGGCCTGGAGGTGGGGGGAGGTGCCTGGAGCCCAGTGGTGACCCCTGAAAGGTGGCCACCCCTGCAGGGACGGCTGACAGTGAAGGAGAGCAATAAGGGGGGGGGGGTGGTCTCCCGGCTCCCAGGGGACTGGCTGTTCTGAGTTCCCTGGGGACCCTTGGGCCTCCACTGCTCAGAGCCTTCCTGCACGTCCCCACCCTTGGGGAAGACCGTGTAAGCTGTCATGCTGTTCCGGAATCCAGGCTAAGGAGGTGATAGAAACTGGGGCCATCCAGGGACACCCCAGAGATGCTCATCCCGCATGACCAGCACCTGGGGAGACTGACCAGCCCCAGAAGGTCGCCCTGCAGGGCCCTCATCATGGAGCACCGGGGCCGCCAACAGAGCTGCTGGGGAGGGTGATAACATGCTAAAATGAAGTCATGTTTTTAAAACGAGTTTCTTCACGGCATCAGACAGAGATGCCAAAAGACCATTATACTGTGGCAGGCAGAAGGATATGTGTGGGCCACTGTTTTCTTTATCGTTTCATACATTTCCCAAATTTTCTACAATGAACACATTTTATTTTTATAACCAGAAAGAAGATGTTACAAAGAAGAGGAAATAAGAAGGTGCTTCCACGAGGGCACAGAGGGCCGGTCCTGGGAGGTGACCCATCCAGGGAGGGGCAGCCACCACGCTCCCCACCAGCCCCGCCGGCCGGCAGTGCAGACCAGGCACATCTGGGGCTGCCGCGCAGAGAAGGCTTTGCCTGTCCCCCTGCCCCGTGGCTGGCAGCCCCCAGCACTGGAGAGTCTAGCTAAGGGGGGCAGACCCCACAGTGACGTGGCTAGAGCACTGGGGACCCTCCCCAGGCTTCGACGTGGAAAGAACTGAGGAGAGACAGCAGGATCCCTTTATTTCTTGTTCATAAGCCAGAAAAAAGCCAGCAGAGCAAGAGGAAAGAGGAAAATGGTACAGGCGACCAAGCACCGCGGGCTAAGCAAAGGATCCCGGTGCCACGCTCCCACTGCCACACGCCCCAGCCCCTGCTGTCAGCCTTGGGAGGGGGCAGGGTGGGCCATGCAGGGCCAGCCGCCCGTCCACCCTGGGCCATCCAGGCCACCCTCCCTTCCGGCTGTACACCTCCTTCCTAAAGACCAGCCCTGCTTGGAGACTGTTACAACTGAGCTTCTGTGAAATTCAATGAGGTCCCACACAAACACTCACCCTCACGAACCTCCTTGGAGAAGCCAAGGAGCAAAGGCGCCTCTCCAGGATGGAGCCCCGTACAGGCCTGGGGTCACAGACGCCCCCACCCCGCCACCTCCCAGCATCCTCCGCCCCTGCTCCCCTCCCCGCTCCTCCTGGGCACCCGGGGCCAGGCCTGGCCAGAGGCCCATCAGGAGGGCCAGCAGCGCCCCAGAGGCTTGTCCCCAAGGCTGGGATGCCCAGTGCCCGCCCCAATGTTCCCCAGGACCTCCTGCAGGGAGAACATGCAGAAGGCGATCTCCTCATAGGAGACCCCGGTCCCACTCGCGTACAGACAGGCGAAGGTCAGGGCTCTCTCGGGGGTGGGCCTGATGGACGCCAGGTCAGAGTAGCCACTGGGGCCCTCGTGGATCGCCCAGGGCTCCGGGCAGCTGTGGGGGTCCAGGGGCGACCGGCTCAGGCAGATGCCCATGTGCAGCTGTGCCCTGCGCCCCACCGGGTGGGAATACAGCAGCCATGTGGGGCTCTGAGACAAGGCCGAGGCGGGACCGGGAGCTCGGGGGTCCAGGTCCCCCTGTTCCCCCCAAGCCCAGGCCCTGGGCCGGGCTCACCGGAGCCATCCCCACATCCCTCCGTCCCACCCAGCCCCCCGCCCCCTCGGGTATCTCCAGCACCCTCCTTCCTCTGGGGGTTCCTGGGGCCCAGGGCAGAGGTGTGGAGGGTGGAGGGTGTTCCTGGTACCCATGGTGCACCCTTCATTCTCCGGCCTGCTGGAGGGCGGGGCCGGAAAGCCCACAATGCTGCCCTGGCAGCCCCCGGCGGCCCCAGCCAGGGCGAGCACCAGCTCCCCAGGCAGGAAGGAGGCGCCCTCGTCTACACTGAGCACCTGCATGTGGCTGCCCAGAGGGCTCCAGGCACTGCAGTAGAGGATGCCACCAGCCTGCCCCCTGTCCCCCACCGCCAACTGGCCCTCGCCCGAGCGCAGGTTGGGCACGAGGCCCCCGTGGTGCCAGGTGCGGAGAAGGAGTGGGGGCCAGTCCCGCAGATCTCACCAAAGCACTCTCGCCGGTCCACGCGGTACATGTAGGCCGGCACCAGCAGGCGGCCCGAGCACAGCCGGATGCCATGGCTGGAGCCGACGGCAAACGTGGCCCAGTCTGCAGGGAGGAGGGGCTGCTGGTACCCCCGATGGCAGCACCACCACCCTGGGGGACGGGGAAGACGGGGGCCAGCACCACCACCCTGGGGGACGGGGAGGACGGGGGCCAGTTCCCGGGTTAGGGGACAGCTCAGGGGGCAGCCATCGGCTCACTGTGCCCCCACCGTCCGCTCCTTCCGGCCACCCCCAGGCTGTACAAGCCTCCTGGGCCATTAGCAGGAGCCACGAGCCCAGGCAGGCCGCTGGGCCAGGATCTCAGCGGGTGAGCGGAAGGCCAGCCCCCAAGTGTGCGTGCTGTCCAGGCAGAGGGGCAGCTGAGGGCAGGAGGGTCTGGGCAGCCCCTCCTGGCAATGGGCTCGAGTCCCCTGGGGTGGGGTCCACACCAGCAGATAGCTCTTTAGATCCACTGTGCCCTGTCTGGGTCTCAGAGCCTGCCCCACCCCTCTGTTTAGCTCCTACCTGCCAGGGCCTAGGTGACCCCTGGGTCAGCTTCCACATGCCAGGGTCGGAGTGGCCCCGAGGGCAGTTGGTGGTCAGGCCCTTGGGGAAGGGGCAGCGAGAGCAGAGGGAAAGCTCTGGTGTCAAGCCGACCTACCCAGCTGCAGGTCACGCCGCAGAGGTGCGCGGCGTTCTCGCCCGCAGCGATCTGCGCGGCCTCGCGGGTGCGGCCGCGCACGGCGATGAAGAGTAAGACTGGCCGTGCGCGCGACGTGCACCGGGCAGGGGTCCCTGGAGCGGTGCTCGTCCAGGACCGCTGTCCCCAGCACGCCCGTGGTGCCGCACTGCGGGGAGGGGGCCAAGCCTCAGTCCCCAGCCCTTCCGCGCGGCGCGGCCCCCGCCGCCCACCCCGGGCTCACCCGCACGGAGCCCCCAGCCAGCATGCCGGTCCTCTGCATCAGGCGGTGGGCGTGGGCGTCGTCGGGGCTCAGCCGCTGCTCCGCGAAGGCCAGCAGGGTGGGCCCGGAGGGCACGGGCAGCAGTGAGGGCACGCGGTACGTCAGGCCGGCCCTCTCGCCCTGGAAGAGCACGGTCCACGCGGGGACACGCAGGGCCCCATGCTCTGCGGGCGCGGGCCCAGGACCCCAGAGTCAGCGGGGTCCCTCCAGATGGGCAAGGGTTTTCTGCGGGTGCAGGCGCCGTGCCCCTGCCCCGGCCCAGCCCGCCTTCCTGTGCCCACCCGGAGACCACCCTGTCCCAGGGCCCCTCACCCCCGTCCAGGGTGGTCCCTCCCCAACGGCTATTGCACCTCAAATGTCTGGAATCTGCGCCTTGCGCCTCTCAGCATGGCCCACGGAGAGGGAACTGGTTGGTGACAGGAGCGGGGTAGCCTGGCCAGAGCCCCTCGACCCTGTGCACCCACGTGCTGGGGACTTGCGGTCATCACAGAGCCTGCCCGGCAGGAGGCTGCCAGGGGACCCCAAGGCTCTGGACAAGGAGGGGTTCAGTGTCCCCAAGCAGGGGCCCCACAACCACAGGAGCCGTGCAAACAGACACGCAGAAAAGGACACAGAAAGACACGAAACACGGAAACATGGGAGACACAGAGGAAGACACGCTCACATGTGCTGCACGCAGATGCCAGGCTTCCGCTGCCATCACCCTCTCAGACCTGGGGTCCTGGGGGTGGCCAGGAGACGTTTAGAGGGTTGCCTGCTGACCCAAGGGGGGCCCAGCAGCTCTCCTGCAGATAAGGTCCTGAACTCCAGGCCCAGTAGGACATTTGCGAGGTGGGGGACCCGCCGCCCTGCCCCCCGGGCTCCTAAGCAAGGCTGGGGGACGTGGGGAAGCCCAGCAGAGCCACCCTACCTATGGGGTACCCCAAACAGCTCACACGTGTACCCCAAGAGAGCTAGGGGCGGTACAAGCCAGTGGGGCAACAAGAGGGACCCCAAGGAGGCCAGAGAGGTCACCGCCCTGCCGTCCAGCCCCTGCCCCTTCCAAGCAGAAAGGAACCAAGTGTGGGGTGGGGGGTTTAGTCTGCAGTAGGGGTTAGGGGTTTGAACTTGAAAAGCAGCGGCTCCCACACAGTGATGGGAGGAAGATGAGCGCCCTCCATGACGGAGCCCCCCAGAAGCGGGAGCACACACACGAGAGAAGCCAGGCTGGGGGACAGGGCATGGAGGCTGGGTGCGCTTCTCAGAGCTGAGAGCTAAGAGGGGAGGGGAGGGGCGGGGGGAGACCACAAGCCAGGCACCAGGAGCGCCCCAGCAGGAGGGAGCGTCGCAGGGTTCAGCCACCATGAAGAAGGCCACAGCCCAGGCCCCACGAAGCCTGGCTCCCTAAACCTTGGCTGGTCGCCCAGCCCCCTCGCCCACAGGCCCAGGTTCCTGCAGGGGTGACGGAGCGTGGCCTGGGCGGCCTTTCTGGGGTGGGGTCACCTGAGGGAGGCTCAAAGGGCGGGGCCTCAGGTGTGGGTGCATTGGGGGCACACACAGTCTGCAATCCGCCGACCCCCTACCGGGGGTCCCGTTCTGATTCGCACAAAGGTGGGCTGGCCAAGCCCCCACCCAGGGATGGCAGTGAGTCTGCTCCCTGCAGCGCAGTGGGGTCCAGGGGCTGCGACCGGAACCGGAGGTGTCTGAGCAGCTGAGGGCCAGACGCGGCGGTAACCAGACAGGGTGCTGGGGGGAGGGGAGTCCCTGTACAGCGAGGCCGGAGCACATCAAAGGACACAGTCGGGATGGAGAGAGTGGGGTGACAGGAATGAATGCACACATACGCCTCCATGCCTGAGGTCCCCCAAACAGACAGACACAACCACCTCTGCCCAGGACCGCCTTCTCCTGGGAGGCTCCCTGGGGCAGTGCACTAGCCCCACCACGCTGCCCCCTGAGCCCAGCAGACCCCTGCCCAACGCCAGGTCCGCCCACCCCACCATGCCTCTGGGGCCTCTGAGAGCAGCTTCCCGTGTCCTGGAAGCCCTGGGCCCCCACCCCCGCTCTGCATCCAAAGAGCAATTGTGCCCAAGCAGGAAGCAGGTGCAGGTGCCTCATGTCCCTCCAGGCTGAATGGACACAAATGGGACACTCTCTGCATTTGGTTTGCTCTGCAGGGCCCAGGACCGCCAGCAGCTGGTGCCAGAAGCAGAAGGGGCTCAGGTCCAGCCCCCACTGTGGGACGGGGCAGCAGGGATGGAGGCCTGCAGGATGCAGGAGGATGCAGCTAGCTGGGCTGTCTGCTCACTGCGCACAGTGGGACGGGCTGCCGGGTACTAAGAGCACCTGCGCCCGGGCCGGGCCCTGCTGCAGAGCCCCAGAGCCTCGGGGGGGCCCTCAATCTAAGAGGGAGAGCAGGCCTCCCAGGCTGCTGGCCCTGCCCAGCTGGGCCAGTGCAGCAGGTTCCAGGGCTTTGGCTCGACCAGGATGGCCGTAACCCAGCGTTCAGGGGAGTCAGCACCCGTAAGTCTCCATGCCCATCTACCCTCCCCAGCGTGGCCCTCCCCAGGTGATGCAACACAGAAGGGGAACCGAGTCCTGGAGAGGAGATGGGACCTCCAAGACAGTCTGGTCCCCTGGCCCTGGACCCAGGCAAGTTACTGGGGGTCATTCTGCCCCAGCAGGGGCCTGCCCCGAACTCCTGCAGCCGGTCCTGTCTGGGCTCCGCCCTGGAGCACGAGCCAGCCCAAGTCACCTGCCCCACACCCTCTGGGCCAGCACGTTTGTCCCGTGGGCCTGCTGGCGCTGGGCACACTCAGCCTGCGGGGCTATGAAACGCATGCATACGAAGGGCACAAGCCCTTTGCACACAAGATGGGCAGACTTGGCTGTGTCACCTCAGGATGGGTCTCCAGCCTAACCCGGGTGTCCTGTGACCTGTCCCGGGCAAGGACTCAATTCAGACACTTCTGCCTGGTGAAGCGTCACCTATGGGCCCAAGTGCTCATGCTTGTTGGGCAGGGCCCCGACACCCAGCCTACACCTACCCCATCCTCTAAATCTACCCCGAGGCCCTGCAGGAAGTCGTCCCATTGCGGGGGGCCCATGTGGCAACTCTGGCTGAGGGCCCTCCGTCCACAAGCCCATTGCCCTCAGGCCAAAGAGAGGCAGGTCCTGGCCCCCGAGGGCCGGGGATATAGGTGAGCAGGGAGGGGCCTCACCAGGCCCCGCAGAGCTGGCTGCAGGGCAGCTGCAGGAGTGCTTGCCTCTCCGACCCACTCACAGGCAGAGACAAGGGCCCACTCTGTGGCCGGGAGCTGCGAGCTGGCACAGCCCCAGGGCTGTGTCAGGATCCAGGACCGTCCCGCCAGCCGTGCGACTGTGGTGCAGCACAGAGAGGGGTAGGTGGTGAAGAAGGGCAGCCAGGAGGGGGCAGTGTCCAGACAGGGCCACACAGGGCTCCTCTCTGCTGGTCAACTGGCTCCACCCTGGGCCCTCACCCTCCAACAAGGCTGTGCTGGGGGTGGGCCACCACCAGGGGCCACAGCTGACCTCCGAGGGGGACATGGGCGTCAGCTGCCCCCAGAGATGCCTCCCATCACGACTTGGGTGCCTACCTGCCGTTCCCTCAGCCCCCAAGATGCCAGCCCCTTTGGCCCTCATGGGCCCCACATCCTACCCCTGTGTCTGGGCCACCATCTCCTCCCCATGCCGAGGCCACACACCAGAGCCGGGCACCGGCAGGGCAAGGCGGGGCGGGGCAGCGGTGGCACCGTGGCACCCACTCTACGGAGGTGGCCCAGATGTGGCACACATCACCTCTGCCCCCTCCAGGGGCCCCAGGACGTCTCCAGCCAGCAGCCCATGCCCACATAAAAGCTCAGGGGTCTGCCGTGAACGGAAAGGGGAAGGCAGTGTGAAGGAACGGCTCACACAGCCTCCCGCCTCTGGAGCCCCGTCCAAACCAGAAGGCAGGATCTACCTTCCTCCCCTGTCCCCCAAGTCCAAGCCAGGTGCCGTCTCACAGGCTGCCCACTGAGAACTGGGGCCTCCAAGTCCCCGCAGCACCTGTTCGAAGCCCCCCAGCCAGAGCAGGGCTGCCTAACCAGGGTGCCCGGGGGCCACAGAAGGAGGCGGCCCGCACACACACACCTTGTTCCCTCTCTCAGGAGTTTTCACGTTTTAGTTAGATGCCAGCTGTTTTAAACCTAGAGACTTCACATAAAAACCTGTATTTCCAGCTTCTCTTGAAAAATCAGACGGTCTGTCTCCCCGGCTTCCCCCACTCCCATGGGCACTGCTAGCTGGGACACGCACACCCCATCCCAGTCACCCGCAGCCCTGCTCACCAACCCTGACCCCAGCATCACAAGGCCTGGAGATGCCCCTCCAGAGAGGAGATTCACAGACTCTGCACTCCCAGCTTTATTGGTTGTGTAGGACTTCGCGTTTTAAACAACTGAGTTTGTCTTGGATGGACACCCAGATTGTTTCTGAAGTTCTCTGTTACAAACCATGTACACTTTACGTTGTAATAAATACCCCCAATTTTCCCTCCAGAAAGACAGCGCCAGTTTACATTCCTGCCAACCTCAAAGGCAAGAGTAACCGCAATTGAATTTCTATGGTAACGTCGCGTTCTTGGTTACTGTGCCCCTGAGCACAGGCCCACGCCCACGGGCCCAGCACTGCTGGCAGCGGTGATGGCCTGACACCCACTCCCTTGAGACAGCCTGCTCTCTGTATTAAGCGGCAGCAGTACTTTCTGCTTATCCTGGACTCACTCGCTTGCCCCTGTCGGCTGAGTTTGCTTTGGGGGTTAGCAGAGCTGCCTGATGCTCAGGGCAGTGAGTTGCTTTGAGTCTTTCTTTAAATCGGGGTCATTTTGCCCATTCTTTGCTTGGCTATAGGTTCTCATCTATGGCCCTTACTCTCCTTCCCAGACTCCTATCAGGTTGGCTCATCCTGGATCTGAGTCCCCATCTCCACTCTCCCTTGGGATTTCCTTCTTTGCATTTTCCTCTGGGTGGAGGATGCAGGAGCCTCCAGAGGTTCTCCTGGCTGACCCTGGCTCTCTGCAGTGTCCATCTATCCTTCACGGTCTCTATTCCATTTTTTCAGAAGTCATTTTTTCTGTTTCCAAATATTCTCTTTTATTCTCAAGTATGCCGCAATATGTCCTCTAATCTTACTGAAAATTCATT